GAGGACCTTCATGTTGTCAGCCTGTGAACGACAAGTATAGACGACTGACCCGGGTGTTTCCTACCGGGAGTCTCAGCCTCTGCCCCAGCCCCTGCTCTGCTGTCTGACTTAGCAACCCTGGAGTACAGACGTGCTCTTGCGTGGGGCTAAGTCATAGAGAGCATAGGGTGGCTTCAGACAGTGCATCACGCGTGTCACCTCTTGTCCCTTCCCTGCTCTGGGGAATGTGATACAGTACCGGGAGCACCCAACACCTCCTTCAGTTCTTCTGGGAGACAACACTGGGAGGCTGAAGGCAATGCCTCTCCTCGTTAGATACTCAACCTGCATCCCTACGTTAGAGCAAAGGCTTGGGAACTCCATCTATGGGGTCTGATTCCCAACAGTTCTTGTCCCGAACTAAACTGCACATTCTCTTTGCAAGCCTTTCTAACCCCGTACAGATTGTATATATGCACATGTGCTCTTGAATTCTCGCTCAGCACCTTCATAAACCCATACAACATACTTGCACACAAATGCTGTCTTTTACATGTTTACACGATGGTGGCTCACATCCATAGGCTGGTCCATTAGCACACACATGCATGCACCTAGACAACCACTCAAATGCAGTCACAAGGCTGGAGTTTCTGGGCACTTACCTCTCGGGTGATGCCGCAGCTTCTTCCTCAAGGGCCTGTCCTGTTTTCCCTGAACGTCAGCTGCCCTTAAATAGCCTTTCCTTCTGCAGGGTTGGGGGGTGGTGAGACAACGGGATGGATAGGTGGGTGTGGTCAAATAGTGGACTCGTAAATAACACGGAAATCCCTGAGCAATCCCCCCTTTTTTCCCTCTCATCATCTGGCTGGACAGCGTTGAGGGCTGGAAAATCCTCATAACATAGGTTGACACTATAATAAATTCAGCCGATTTTGAATTCTCTGGCTGCTGAGAAAAGGACTCAGTTCCTGGCTGAGGAAGTTTCTCTATCCAATCTGGGTGTAACCAACAGGTCACCTCCTAGCAGCCACTCCCAGGAGTGGGCAAGGTCTGTGCAAGCAGTGTGAATGAAAGTGTTTGCAAGCCAGGAATGTTCCTTTTTCTAACGGATTGTGACATTTGCGAATAGGAAAGAGGACATTGATTCAGTAGAGTTTGTGCATTTCCTCCATTCATCACTCATTCAATCACAAAAGATACATGCTAAGCCTCTGTGTGGTCCAAGGCTGCACAAACTTCTTGAGGGGGTGATAAGGACGTTCAGGAGTCAAGTTCTTGGGGCCCCACAGAGCACTCCAGCATGGGAAGGATTGGATGGGCTGGATTCTCTGTTCCCCAAACAGCCCAGCATCTCCATATTCTCTTCTTCCTCCCCTTCATGGTCCTCCCCCTCTCTCATCCCATGTGATTTTCTTCTCTGTGTGGTTATGTGTCTGTGGTTGTGCCTGTGTGTGCAGCTGTGTGTGCATATGTTTGTTTCTTCCTTGGAAGTGGTGAGTACAAATACTCCTCTCACTCCAACAAATTATAGTGAAGTTTCCCACATCTGGGGAAATGGCAGGGGTCAGCACATCCCGGGTGCAGTGGACAAGCCTCGCTGAGAAAACTACCTTAATGATCAAGGTGTCTCCCCTGTCAGGAAAGTAGTATTCTCGGTGGCTTTCTACTAATGCCAAAGCTCCCCAAAATGAGTGGTCTAAAGGAGGCAAGATAGAAAGACCCAAAACTGGAGTGACATGAGAAGGACCCCTTCACCTGAGATCTGGTTGGTTTATTCTTCCTGCTGGCACAGCCAGGAAGCTCCAACACTGGTGATAACACCAGAAGCGCCCACATAGGTGACAGGCAGTTTCCTTGAGACATCTCAACCGAAAATATTAAAGACAAATTAACAAAAGTAGGCATGCCTACTGAGGACCCAAATGATTGCTAACCTTGACTTTTAGCACTTTTTATTCTCAACAACACACCTTGTAAACCCACTTTACAACTTTGTTCATAACAGGACACTCTTTGACCTCCCAACTTGCTGTGAATTACCCAGAGTGATGGAAGCTAGAGAACACAGGGCCAAGGATGACGCTCCCGTTGAGAAGCCCTCATCCACACTTGAGGATCTCTCTCTTCCCCTGGGCACCTCTCTATTAAGTTCTGTGCTTGAGGCCTCTGCTTTAAGAGTTCTTCCATGAGCCCTGCTTCACTGCTGGCTTAGCCTGATACACTTTCCATGGCAAAGCCAGGAATCCAGCTTCACCTCAGTGCAAGGCTCTATGTGGGGAAGGAAGAAAGGAAGGAAGGAAGGAAGGAAGGAAGGAAGGAAGGAAGGAAGGAAGGAAGGAAAGGAAGGAGGAGGGAGGGAGGGACAGAGGGAGGGAGGAAAGAAGGCACAATGAAGTAAGGTGACTCCTTGCCATCTCCTGCATTCCTCTCTGGCCAGGCTCCTCCCCTGAGCAGCTGATGTGAAGCCTACATCAAGGTTCAGGGAGATCTCATCTCCTTCAGAGACCTCATCCCCTGGGGTGGACATTTCCCCTTGGTTCAGCCTCTCAGGTTCCTGAGCACTTACTAAGCAATAGTCAGAAGTGTCCTCCCCCTCCATATATCCCGGTGGCCCCACCAAGTCCAGTCTTTAGGACTCCATCAATACTAAGGACCCTGGGGACACCAGATGGAATTTCTTCATTTCTCATTTTCAGGGCGTTCTCTTAAATTCTGTCCTCTTGTCTTGTTCTTTCCACCCATGTCTAAACCTAAGCTCTTGGGCATCTCTGAAAAGACAAGATGTCTGCTCAAATGGGAATCACAGGATGGATGAGGGTAATGAAGACCAAAATGTGCTTTCTGATGACCAGAGTCAAAAATCCTCAGCAGCATGCTCACAAACTAGAGGTAACATTAGGTTAAAAAGGTCACACCCAGGATCCCATGGGATTCATTCCTAGAATGCAAGGATGGTTTGGTATCTGCAAATTGATGAAAGAAGGCATTTTGTGTCAACAGAGGGGGAAGCAAAGCCATCTGTCCATCTCAATAGATGTAGTATATCAACTGTGTAACATACAAACTATGTTTATGATTAAAAAAATACCGTCATCAAATTAGATAAAATCCTAAAGGCTATGTTTGCAAAAGCCGTAGCCAATGTTCTTGGGAAGATGGAAACATTTCTAAGGCAAAACAAGACTTGTCACTCATAGCAAGGTAGGATAGAAGGAACATTGAGGAGGTGGGATAGGGAAAAGAAATCCCATGTCCTGAGATGTGGTTGGTTTGTCATTCCAGCTGTCAGAGTTGCACACTGCTGATAATGCCAAAATTGCCTGCATTGATGATGGGAGGTTTTTCCTTAAAACATCTCAAGTTAAAAACCATTAAAGATAACTAAACTAAGCAAATGGTGGCTTTTCTAGGCTCAAAGAACTTCTATCTCTGATTTTGTATATTTCTTCCTGACAACACCCTCACAATTCCATTTTACAGCTTAGAATGCAGTTAAGTTTTGAATCCACATGATCCACATGTGCCTTCTGTAATTTCTCTTCAATCAAAGTCAATTCTCTCTTAGCTCCAGCTGATAATTCCCTGAGACTATTGAAGTCCTTGTTACCATGTAAGGTTTTGTTTAAATGAATCAGGTCATCAAGACCTATCCCAATAATGCGCTATAGATGCAAAATGGCTTCTAGCAATCTTTGGAAGTCATTAGAATCTGCAATCAATCTCCCCTAATTTGCACTTTTTGGTGTCTACTTTTTTGCAAACCTATTTTATAGCCAAAAGAATGAATAGAATCTCCTATTTATATCGGTTCAGGAGCAATTTGTAATCCCTGACAAGGCAATATTTCCTTTGCTCCTTCAAACATTCTTTCTAAAGTATATACATTTGAAACAGGTGACGAAATGTCATCCATGTAGTGGTAAACTATAGACTGAGGAAATTGCTTGCATATCATTTCCAATGGCTGATTTATAAAAATATTGGCACAGGGGGAAGCCATTTAATGCTCCTTTTGGGAGAATCTTCTATTGATATCTCTTAACAGACTGAGAAGGGCTGTAAGTAGGCACTGTGAAGCCAAAATTTTCTCCATATTTTTCTTGAAAAGATATAGTGAAGAAAAAAGCTTTTAAATCAACAACTATGAGAGGCTATCCTTTAGGCAGTAGAGAAGGCAAAAGAATGCCAGACTGTTGAGAATCTATTGGCTGAATCACCTTATTAACAGCTTAGTTTTGTTACCATTTTCCAGATTTATTTTTAATCACAAATACAGGAGTCTTACAACGGCTGGTTGATTCTTCAATATGTTGACCATCTAGTTGCTCCTGTACCAGTTGTTCTAAAGCCTGCAGTTTCTCTATTGTTAAAGGCTATTGTTTAACCCATACAGGTTGTCTGTCAACTATTTTAATGGTAGGGTTGTTGTTGCCTTTAATTTTGGTCTTTGTTTATTTATAGAAGCTTGCCAAAATACTCGTTTTATAGTTTCTCCTGAATTTTTCGTTCTCTCTTCTAGAGCTGTTCTATCAGCAGCTGTCTTGCCCAATTCTTGTACAACCTGAATGGTCAGTGATTGTTCTTTATAATACCTTGTATTAGTTTACCCAGAAACATACATTTATTTATGGTTTGTTTCTGAGATTGGACTAACGTTAATCTGAGTATACCACTGCTGTAACAAATCATGTCCCTATAAATTCATTGCTATGCTAGCCACATATAGTTTTAATTTTCCTCTCTGTTCTTCTGGTCCTATACTTTTGATCTATCTTGCACTCAACTTTATCTGAGATTAAGTTCCAATCCCTATCCAGGCGGTGGGGGCACATGCCTTTAATTCTAGCACTTGGGAGGCAAAGGCGGGCTGATCTCTGTGAGTTTAAGTCCAGCCTGGTTTACGTGAGCTAATCCAGGACAGATGCCAAAGCTACAGAGAAACCCTGTCTTGAAATAAAAATGTTCCAGTCCCTAAAAGTTAAACATTTACATTCTGAAGAAGTCAGTTTGGATGCCAAGATTCTGATGAAATTATTGTTAAATCCACATCTGTGTCCATCAGACCTTCAATGGCAACATTATTTATTTACATTTTTAATTTTGGTCTTTATTTATAGAAGTTTGCCAAAATACTTGTTTTATAGTTTCTCTTGATTTTTTTGTTCTCCCTTCTAGAGCTGTTCTATTATTCAGAGCAGAATGGTTTCTTACAACAGGCATTAGGTTCTTCAATTGCTCTGGGAATGAGTTTTCTCTAAGAGGGCAGAAAATGACTGAACCAGATTTGGCATAGGAGCCTGAAAGTGACCACGCATGGAGTTTCCTGATGGCACAGGATTACCATGAATATTCCTCGTTGACCTACATTCATAGTCCAATGCCTGCCTTTGCCACACCTTCCATATAATCCAGAAGGGAAGGGTGTTTTGAATGGATTATTCTTAGAAAAATCATTGTTCCTAGGAACACCCTGTCTACAATCCCTTCTAAGGTGACCTTGTTTGCTACAGGTATAACATTGGACATTTCAATTTTTCCTCAAACCTCTGGAAATCACTTCTCCTATCCATGCATCATCATCTTCATGAAATTTAATATTAATTTTATCTCAGATCCATTCCACCAAAGGTTCTGGCCTTGCCTTTAATGACCTAACTATCCTTTTGTGTAGGGAACTGGCATTTTCAAAAGCCAGAGATTCAATTATTATTTGTCTAGCTTCTGAATTTGGCATCCTTCTATTTACTGCAGGAGTCAGTCTTTGTAAGAAATCTGTAAAGTCTTCCTTTGGGCCATGTACAACTTTTGTGAATGATTCTTACTAAATTTACTTAATTTCCCCTCCTACTTCTCCAATTCTGTCCCAAGCATTCAAAGCTGCGACATGGCATAAATCCAGGGTGTGGTCATCATATACTGCCTGCCCTTCTGTAGTAGCATAGTCTCTTTCTCCAAGAATTTGATCTTGGAAGATTTCCCTACCTCTTGCTTTACACCATTGCTCAATAGTCTTAGCCTCTTCTCTGAACCAGCACTCCATTGTAATTGTGGACCAGGCTCTAAAACACTTTTAACGGAATCTATCCAGTCATTAGGGATGATTCTATTACGAACTGACCATGAGTTTAACGTTTGCCCCACAAAAGGTGACTGCATGCCACATGAGACGATTGCTTCCTTGAATCCCCTTAAATCTAACATTGGCCCAGGAGTCTCATTAGCTGTAACAGATCCTCTGTATTTGACACTTCCTGTAACGTTACTGATTATATGAAGGTTGGTTGTCTGAAAACCTTTGGCTGTTCCTCTCTATTCTTATAATATAGTGCTGTGTGGTAGAATGTCCTGATGGCCCGGCACCAGAGGGATAGCAAGCAACCTCCACTAGCCATGAAACCCCCCTTGGGTTATACCTGGCCTGGCTCTGGAATTTTCACCCAGCCCCAGGCCTTAGCTTGTGTTACATTTCCCTTTTGTTGTCCTATGTGAATTTTGAGTGAGAGTTTCCCATGGATACAAAGCCTACGCAAAAATTAGTCCAGGGCGAGCATGTGATCAAACTGGACTCTCTGAATGTGGCTGACAATGAGGGCTCACTGAGAAGCCAAGGACAATGGCACTGGGTTTTGATTCTCCTGGATGGAGTGACTTTGTGGGAGCCTAGTCTATTTGGATACTCACCTTCTTAGACCTGGATGGATGGGGGAGGACCTTGGACTTCCCACAGGGCAGGGAACCTGCCCTTAGGTTCTTAGGACTGCTCTTAGGACTGGAGAGGGAGGGGGAGGGGGACTGGGGGGAGTGGGAGGGAAATGGGAGGAGGGGAGGAGGTGGAAAGTTTTAATAAAAAAACAAAAACAAAAAATAACTTGGTTTCGGCGAATCCCGGGTAAACTGCAGTATTTCATGAATCAGGGATTTGTACCTGGCGTTGTATTATCAGAAACTTCTCTCAGTTTGTTTTGAGATGTGGAAAGCTTTCTAGCCAAAGTGTTAATACAGGAAAAATTAAGATTCTGGGAGGTGAAGGGAAGGCTTCAGTTCACCAGGACTGAGTCCTGCGGCCACAGAGCTAAGTTCATTCTCAGTGTGTCTCTGAGTCTTCATTTCTCAGAACCGTGTGAACTGCGCTGATTTGCCTCGACAATGCTAAAATTGCCTCTCCGTTAAATTCTTCTGTCTGGATTTGAGTATCTCTGTGAACTGTTTCATTACGTTTTTCTAAGGCCTGTATCTTAGCACTCAGATTAACTCAAGCAAACATAATAGAACAAATCTCTGAAAAACACCCAGGGGACTGTTCAGGAAAAGCACATGTGTTAGAGGGCTGCAGGAAGGATCTGACAGAAAAATACCAAACTTGCTCAGGGTCTCGGGGAGCAGGGAGAAAAGAACGCCTAGCCAGGTGGAGCTCCAGCTTCAGTAGGAGCCCCACGTGTAGCTGCGGCCTGTGCCGGTTGCTTTTTTCATGAATTTGTGCTCCAAATGTTTGGGCACCAATTGTACTACAAGTAGAAATGCAGAGACAGATATTGGGGTTCAACCTGAAGATCAGAAAAGCAAAGCAGCCTGCCACTGGCTCTTACCTCTACCGTAGATCATGGCAATCCTGCCTCCAGGAATCCTCAGGCTGAGACCTGTTCTTCCCATTCTGGAATCCTCTCTAGTACTGGGATTAAAGGCATGAACTACCACCACCCAGCGTCAATAGCTACCTAGGGTTTCTGCTGGGATTAAATGTGTGTGCCACCACTGTCTAGTTTGTATGACTGAACAGTATGGCCGTTTTACCCTCTGATCTTCAGGCAAGTTTTATTTATTAAAATACAAATGAAATATCACTACAGAAATGTTTAACCTTTCAACTTGCTGTGAACTATTTTCTCCTAGTGATGGGAATTAGAAAGCCAAGGGGTTACATGTGCAGCTATTGCCCAGACACGGAGCGACTCTCCTTCGAGGAGCCTCTACCCATACTTGGGTGTGTCTCACTGTTCCTTTGGGTGGGTACTTGAGTTTCAAATCTAGGTCAAAAACGCCTTTTAATGAACTTGACCTCTACACTATCCTGAAGTTCTTTTCTATGGTGTAGCCAGGAACGTGGTTTTACTTGAGTGGAAGTCACGGAGGGGGAAAGGAACTGCCCGGGCTGCAGGCAGCCGCGTGGAACCACTCAGTTAAGATGATGATGTTTGTGTTTCTGTGACTGCAGACAACAGGCTGTGCTCTGCCCGAGCTAGGCTGCCATCCCCAGGAAGAAAGGTGAGAGATTAGAAATGGGAGAGAGAGAGAGAGAGAGAGAGAGAGAGAGAGAGATATCAAGGATTCGGATAGCCCTTTCCCGACATAGCCCCTGGGATTTCCCTGATGTCCACTATCTTGCTAAATTTCCATCATTTCACAATATGTCAAGGCTGGGCACCAGGCTTTCATCATTAGGGCTTTTCAGGGACATTTAAATCCAAATCATTACACCAGCTGGCCAGCCTCTTTCACTTTCTCTGGCCTTTATTCCTTTCTGGAATGTGGAGAGTGTCCGTGATGGTGGAGTCCCACAGTCTGTAGTCTAATATGCTAAGAAGGTCCTGCTGCCCCTGACAGTTTAGGACTTTGTTGATTCCACATGAAGTTCTGGATTTTGTTGTCTATCTTGGTGGAATTTTGTCGGAGATTGCATTGATAACTTTGTCAGGTTAAGTCTGGAGTGTCTTAGGTGTTTCCTTTTTCCTGAAGGATCGATGGATACATCGACAGGAGCAGGGAAATCAAAGCTCCCACTAGCACTGTATCTGGATTTGTCTCTGCCTTTGCACACAGGAATGTGACAGAGTTTAGTGCGCATGGGTTATTATTCTGTTGACCTTCCCTGTCACCTGGGTACTCTGTGCCTTTAAGAGACAAGCTCTGCCCACTCCCAAACCCCCTTGCACCAAGGTTAGCAGATCCCCCCCTCCTCTCCAGTGGGCTCTCTATCTTCCCCTTCCTCTTCTGTAGAGGTAACTTCTTTCCCCTCTTCTCCCCTTCCCTTCCCCTCCATAACCCACTAAATAAACTCTATACTCAAACTCTCTCTCTGCATGACATATCTGTCTCTCACTCTCCACAGTCTCCCACCCGCTAAGGGAACCCGCTGAGGACCCCGTGACCTGCCGATGCTCCTGGTGGGACCACTATCCCTCAAGGGACCGGTCCCCTACCACCATATCTTTATAAAAGAATAACAATATGTTATTGTCAATTTGTCTCTCTGGTGGTGTGATGCAACTCTGACCAAAAGCAATTCGAGAAGGAAAGGGTTTATTTGACTCACAGGTTACACAGGTATCATTAGGGAAGCCAGAGCATGAACTGAGAGCCTAGAGGCAGGAGCTGATGCAGAGGCCATGGAGGGCCTTCCTCTTTTTTCCTTGGTTGTCGATTTGGCAGGGTAAGGAGTGATGTCTGCTTCTTCTGTTGCTCTTAGCTCATCTGTCACTCACTTTGTTGATGTTGGTGGCATGCCTGCTTGTGTACACTGTCCAGGATTGGACTTCGACATCCCCAGGGGTCATGACTTTCCCTTGAACCTGTGAATCTGAACCCCAGCCAGACAGAGATTTTTCCTTGTTATTCAGAAAAGCATTTTGGAGTAATCGAAACTGAAACTGTACTTCTCTGCCAGGGATCTCCAGGTATAAATAACCCTAGCATCCAGAGCCACTCTGGCCTCTCCAGTAGCTTCAGCAGCACCTAGTTCTCCACTGTCCCAGGAGCCATCCCAACGGCAGGATCTGTGTCCACCCTCCGGGCCAGGACAAGACCAAGGCACCTGGGGCCTCAGACAGTCAAGGCTCTTAGCAGCCTCTCAGGTAATTAAGTTCCAATGCAGGCTCCATGGGGGTCAGTCAGGACTGCAGGGAAGAGCACAGGCTTGTGACAAGGAGAAGGCTGTGACTTGGATAACCTGGGACTGGACAACTACCCTCCCTGTTGGGATGTGCTGGGTGACTGCCCAGGGCCCTGGGGCAGAAGGGCCAGGGCTGTGCCAGTCTCTTCTTTTGTTGGACTTTCTGCCACCCTGAAGGCTGCTGGGGGCTGAGCAGGGTGACTGCAGGCCAGTGTTCACTGTGTGCTCCCACAGACAGCGTCCGAGTCTGTCCATCCTATTTCGCAGCTTGGGGGCCTAATGCTTGGGCTGCAGGCCATAAACTTGGGGATTCTGATTACTAAGACTGCTCGTGGGAACAGCCCTGGGAGCAGGAGCTGAGACCAGGCCAACGAGGTCAGTTATGGGGAGAGAGGGGCCTCAAGGAGGGGGAGGCAATGGACTGGAGAGAGAGAAACCAGAGGGGGCCAGGGGAAGGGTGGATACTGCTTCTGCCAGAGAAAGCTCCTAGGGCTTCAGGATCCCTTACATGCATCTTTATCAGACCAGGGCTAGGGCAGTTCCTGAGGCAGGCCATGTCTAAAGTAAGGGTACTCAGATGGTCATTCCTAAAATGAACAAAGCCAGGGCAGAAAGGGTTATGGGCAGGGTGGGTTATGGCTCATGCTTACGTTCACCTGAAGGCTTGTCCAGCTTTCTCAGATGTATGAACATGTTTCTGTGGGCATGTATGTATATGGATTTGTACAGGCATGCATGCATATGCATTGTATGCATGTGGAGGTCAGAGGTTTACCTCAGGTGTCTGACTCAATCACATCTCCAATTCATTTTCTGAGGCAGGGCTCACTGAGCCTGGAGCTCACTGACTGAATACACTGGCCATTTTGTAAGCTCCTTGCCTTCCCTGTGCTGGGATGAGAGGCATAAACGCTGTGTCTGTGTTTTGTTCGCATTCTTTCATTTCGTTTCCTTTATATGGATTCTGGGGAGCAAGCTCAGGTCTATATGCTTACATGCTTCTATGGACAAACCATCTCCTCAGCACCCTGGATTTCTTTTTAATCCAAACCAGAAGAAAACATTCCCCTTTGGGGAAGGGTTCATCCACCTTAGTTAACACCCCTTACCTTCTGTGTGCCATTCACCTAGGGCACAAACCATGCAATCCGGAGAAGTGTGCCACACCATTGCTGAATGCATCTTACAAGGAGCTCTTTCTTTTCCCTTCTGCATCCTCCCTTCTCTGAGTGCCCCGCTCTGGACGGTATTCAGCCTTGACATTGGGGCATTTGGGTTCAACCCAGAGATTAAGTGCTTTGTGACTAGAAGGAGCCTCTCTGTGCTCAGATCTGCAACAACCGTACTGCTGCAGGGGAAAGCGACAAGCCTTGTTAGCAGCTTGTCACAGGCCTTCACCGTGGTGGTGATTCAAGTCAGGCAGCACTCCAGACCAAGAGTGGTTCAGGATGCCCCACCCTGACAAGGGCAGGCTGTATTTATAGCCAGAGGAAAGGAAGTGGTGTGGAAAGAGAGGGTGTCAGCCTGACTGGGTAGAATTCACTGGGTTGTGAGTGCCTGATCTGAACATTAGGGAGCTTATGAAGGCCCAATGACTGGGTTATATAAAACAAAACAAACAAAATACTTAAACCTCCAGTCCAAATATTCACATAGGCAGTGTGTTTTGGCTTCTTACCTTGAGAATATGCTAATTTTTTCACTATCATGTGTTCATTGTGCAAAGTGATGGATTTGATCATGCATATTTATTTCTTTTCTGGGATTGTGGAGACTTGCACAAGCCAGTGTGTGTGTGTGTGTGTGTGTGTGTGTGTGTGTGTGTGTGTGAGAGAGAGAGAGAGAGAGAGAGAGAGAGAGAGAGAGAGAGAGAGAAGATAATGTGTGAGATCTAGTTCTCTCCTTCCACCATGTGTGTCCTGGGGATTGAACTCAGGTTGTCAGGTTTAGCTGCAAGCCCCTTCACCCACCGAACCATCTTGCTGCCCTCACTATGACGTTTTTAGGCCTGCGCATCACACCCTCTGCTCACTCACCACTATTAGCCATTCTTCTCTCTCTTCCCTCCCCTACTGGTCCTGTATCTCAACAGTTCCCTTGTCCTTTCATGTGGTATGGATCATTACAGATGAGGTACCGATAGACAGACGAGTAGATGGATGGAGAGACAGATTCCACACACAAGGGGAAGCATGGCATTTGTCTTTGTGTCCCTGCCACTTCCCTTAACATGATCATCTCCAATTCTGTCAGTTTCCCTGCAGATGATGTCATGTCCTTTATTGCCGAATAATTCTCCATTGTGCACACCTGCCACTCTTCTATTGGTGAGCGTCTAGGGGGCTCCATTACTGTTGTGTGGGTGACTATTTTTGTAAATAGGTTTTATTTGTGTGTCAAGTTAAGCTTCAGTTTACTATTTAGAGAGAAGTCTTTGAGGCAAACTTTACAGAGGTGGTGTCAGACAAAACATTTGATTTAACAACACAATTGTCTCTACCCTATAGACGAAAGGATTTGCCCCACACGAGGCATGAATGTCAAAACAAGACACAATTTCTGTCTCGAGGGATTTTGTTGGACTGGGTATCACGGCACAAATAGTTTCTTTTAATTTCACCGGGTGAGAATAAGATCGCTAGCTATCACAGTTTTGGGTCAAATTTGAACCAAACTTTCTTAAGTTACTGACCAGGATCATGGATACTACCCAGGTCCATAGTTGAGATTCCCAGAGAATGGCTGCAAGCTACATTGATCAGGTACTTATAAAGGCAAAAATTCACAAGAATACATATGTCTTGCCTTCGTCCAATCAGGGCCAAGCATACATCATGACATACTTCCTGCCTATGTGCCACCACCTACTTGTGATCAAGCACATCCTCTGCAATTGGGGCAACCAACCTTGTTTATAGAAGGAAAAACACATGGTTCATTATCTTCCATAAGCAACAGCTCCAGCATTCCAGGAATATCTGCCTTTGGGCAAGTGTGGGGGGTGGGGGCTACAGATTGGAGGCATTTTTGTTTTATAGCTCTCTTAAGCACAGCAATTTAAACTTAAAATTTTAGCCCTCACAGTTTCTGGGTGCCCAGAGGGCTCAGAGTTGGGTCTTTGTAGTTCAGGGTAAGGTGAACTCTAAGAAAGTTTTCCACCAAAGGGAGACCTGGCTTACCTGTCTCTCCAGCTCCCAGGCAGATTTCTTCCCCAGAATCTCCGCACTTCTCCCTGCATGGAGTATTCTTAAGATAGTCCGTGCTTGCTTCCTTCAGAGCTGTGTCCAAGTGCTTACCAAGGAGCTATTGAGGGACGAGCACGTTGTATCTAGAAAGATAAGAACAAGAGGATAGAAGGCAGCTAAGAGCGGAACAGGTGAAGAGGGGTTGAGGGGAGAGAGGCAAAAAGAAAGAATGAGAAGTGGAAAAAGAAAAAAATGGAGGCAGGACATGCTGTGTGCTCTCATTGGGGTGGGAGAGGTGGAAGGATGGTCTTGGGCAGCCAAGAGGGAATATCAGAAGCATATGGTGGTTTATTATTTTTAATAATAATAATTTTTAATGAATAAAGCTTACCTGCAGATCTGAATGCAAAGCAGCCATACCAGTCAGCGGTGGCACCCACCTTTAATCCCAGCAACAACACTAGTTAGCCAAACAGCCCAGGCACTGGTGACACACGCCTTTTATTCCAACACTAGAGAGGAATATAAAATGGGAGGAGACAGGTCTTAGCTCGGTCAAATTTTAAGGAAACTTTAATTACATACTATTCAGGTGGATGGATCCTGGCCAGGTCTGTCTCTAGTTCCCCAGAAAAATGGCCTGGACTCAATTTTTGTAGCAGTTTTGATTTATTTATTTATTTATTTATTTTTTATTTTTTCCCCATCAGGTCTAGTCAGCCTACACCCAATCAGGGGCAGACATACATCCTGACATATTTCCTGCCTCTGAACTTCCCACCGACATGTAACCAAGCATGTCTGGTACAGACAGGTCAAACGAACTTGTTTAGGGGAGCAAAGTCACGTGGCTTGTTATCACCCATAAACCACAGCCTCCAGCATTTCATGAACGTCTGTCCTTGGGCAAGGGACTGGCAGAGCAGAGGCATTTTTGTTTCATGGATCTCTATGGTCTAGATACTAGAACTTACGATGTAGCATTGGCTCTCACATATCCTGGAAGGGGTGGCATTTAAGATGAGTCCCAGAGTTTAACAAACCAAGAGCACTATGACTGCTGAGTACTCTAGAGGGCATTCTGTGAAGAAATCTGAGTAGAAAACACGTGAAGGTTCTGGAACAACCCAGTCGCCCCACTGGTGCAACCGCAGACGTGGTGGGCACCTGCTGCCCAGTCTGGCTCCCACTTCGTGGGTTTTGTCATTCTTTGCCATGTCACTGAACAGGACTCTGGACTGAAGAGAAAGCGGGGAGGGCTCCAGAGTACAGAGGGAATGATGCTTCCAATAGACCCCTCCAGGTCATGTGGTTGCTGACTGACTAACAGGTACAAAATTTTTCTTCAGCTCAGTGGTTAAAAGCACTGGCTGCTCTTCTAGAGGACCTGGGTTTTGTTCCCAGTGTCCACATGGTGACTCACAGCCTTTGCAATTCCAGTTCCAGGAGACTGGACACCTGCCTAATGGTCTCAGTTTTCACTATCCATGTTATATGTGCAGGCAAAACACCCATACATTTAAAATAAAAAACAGTAATTTCAATAAAATATACTAATACTTGTGTTGTGTGGCACAAGCTAGTGTTCCCAATGCTCAGGAGCCTCAAACAGTAGGATTGCCAGCCTGAGATATATAGTGTGTAGGCCAGCCTGGACCACAAAAGCAAAAACCAAAACAAGAACAACCAAATGCAAAAGCAAAGCAAACAAGCAATAACAAAAATACTAAAATGTTTTTACTTTATCCCCCCTTACCTTTTGTTTGTTTGTTTGCTT